CCGCCTCCCAGTGCTGACGCAGCTTCTGAGCTGAGCGACTCCAGTTCTTGAGATAGGGCCACAGACCTTGGCAACAAGGGAAATGCTGCTTGTCACCCTGTTTGGAGCACAGTTCATGGTGGCCGTAAAAGGCTCTGGGGGTCCCAAGGAGAGCCCTGCTTAGCAATGTCCACCCAAACTTCTGTGTCCACAGAATCTTTCTGGGAACCAGGACACCTTTTAACAAATTCTGAGGAGCGTGTGCTCCTGTCAGACACTGATGGGGTGAAGCCAGTGTCATCCCTGCCCTCAGAGAGGGGACCGTCTGTGGTCACTTCCCTGGGTCCCCACCCTGGGGGATGGCCCTGGTCTCTGCAGGAGGCTCCTGGTCTTGGCCTCTACTGCCCCGACTTCCTGTGGGTAGGCAGAGAGCTCCCACTGGGCCCTGTCCCACTTCCAGAGCCTCAAGGAACAGTGCTCAGGGTGGGGGAGGGACAGCTTGGGAGGCTGAGAGGGACCCTGGGCGTCCAGGTGGCTTTGGCCTGGTGGCCTTGGTGTCTTCACCACCAGATGACAAGAGGGAGGAGGAGAGGTGCCTGGTGACCTCATCTCAGAAAGGGGGATTCTTGCCCCCGTGCTGGGGTGCACGTTGCTCTGGGGGGCCCCTTGCCTGCCCGGGCCTCTGTGGTGGCTGCTCCTGACTTCAGGGCCTGGAGCCCCTGAGATGGTACAGGCCGCGTCCCAGACCCCCGTGGCATCCTCCGAGAGCTGCAGGCCCACCCGCGGCGCAGGTGTGTGCATGGGCCAGCGCCCACAGAGGAACTCACACGACACAGGCGTGCACACACACCACAGGCACAGACATGCACATGTGTGCATACATGCACAGATACGTGTGCACCACAGACAGACACTCCACACGTACACGTGGGACTTAAGTCTCACACACTGACCTGTGCACACAACCCACCTCACATCAGACCATAGACACACACTGGCTGCTGTCCCTGGGGGCCCTGCCTCCCTCCTGGGCCCGGAAAGGTGGCTGCATGGTGGAGGCAGAGGGCTCAGAGTCAGAACTAGGTTCAGGTCCCCTGAGTGCCCCTCCCTGGCTGGGCAAAGCTCCCTCTCCTTCAGAAGACCCTGAGGCCGGGTTCTATTGCACCTTGACCTCTGACCCCTGTGGTCCACAGCCCCACGCAAAGGCCTCTGAGCCCAGGGAAGGTGAGAACCCTCTCTGCATCACCCTGGTCCCTCCTGTCACGTGACAAGCTCCTCTTGCCTCGGAATCTGTCCTTTCCAGGCTTCCACCAGCTTGTCATCACCAAAGGGACCCATCAGAGCCAGGTGGAGTCCTCAGCCCCTTGCTGCAGATGGGGACTGTCCCACCCGGCCCAATGGCTGCCTTAACAGACGTCCAGTCCCCTGAGCACTAGAGAAAGAGCCAAAGCCCCATGGACTGTCGGTCTCCCAAGAACAGGCTCTGAGCAGGGCCATTTCTGCACCTGTAGGGTGCTGAGGGCCGGGCCTGGGCAGGGTGGGGCCTGCTGATGGGTGCCGGGCTCACACCCTCCTGGGCAGGATCTCGCCTCTTTATCAGGAAACTGCTCACATCTCGTTAGTGGCCACCTGCCCACTAGGCAGGCCTGGCCCTGGGTCCTCCCATCGGCTCCTCGCGGCCTGCTGGGGGGCGGACACCAGCTGGAACCCAGACTGGCTGGGCTCTGCCGTCAGTGCACTGCATTGTGCCTGAGAAGGAGGAGGATGTAGAGCCGTCCCCTCACTGAGGTGGATCTTACGACCAGCTCCCAGCGCTGGGCCCCTCCTGTGCCCATCCCTGGCCCTCTCAGCAGCCCTACAGGGAGGTTTTGTCCCTTCTGTCCCCATTTCCCAGATGCGCTTTTGGAGAGATGGAGGGGTCACCCAAGAGCTCTGGTGCAGGCACTCATGGCAGCCTGGACCCCAATGTGGGCTGAGTGTCCCCAGTAGGACCCAGACCTGTCTCCTGAGCCCAGGGGCATGAAGACCCCCCTCATCCTGCCATTTCCGGACCTTCCTGCGCCTGGCCCTGAGGGTGGGGGGACTGTACTGAGGGCAACTCACAGGCCCATGCTGGGCTGCGCCCAGGGGCCCCCCGGTGGCTGGACCTGGGTGCACAGCGAAGTCAGGACAACATGCCGCTCTGTTCAGCACCTGGCTGCGCTTCTCCAGCCCAGAGGCCCAGATGCGAGGGTCCCAGCGTCCTGAGCAGGTCCCTTCTGCAGCAGTGTGAGGAGCCCGGACCCCAAGGCCAGCCGGGCAGCCGTGAGCTGCTCATGTCCTGGCACCGGGTGTTCCCGGGCAGCCTGTCTGGAGGGCTGGAGCTGTGGAGTCGGCAGTCCATGGGGCTTGGGCCTGATCTGTCACCCACACCTGTCACATCTGGAGCCCTTACAAGGCCGGCCACCGCCCTGGGTCTCCCCTCTTTTGTGGAGCCCACAGAACGTCTGCTTTCCCCAGGAACATCTCCCACTCAGGAACCCTGACATTGGTCCTGTTCCGGGGCAAGGTGACAGACAAGCCTGAGAAGGCCACCTGTGGGCAAGGGGTAGAACTGGGTCTGAACTCAGGTGGGCTGCAGCCTCCCCTCCCGGCCTAGGTCCTCCCACTCCTCCCCACCCCCAGGGAAGCCAGTTTTCCAGGAGGGAACTGACTTCTGACACCTCCCCAGGAGTCCAGGTCTGGGGGGAAGAGTGATGTCCGAGATGAGGAGGGCACGGAGGTTTGGGGAAACCTTGCTTCTAGAACATTCTCTCCTAATTTACAGCCTCCTCCAGCCGTTTTCTTCAACGCACATCAGTTAAGCCCTTAAAATAGTCAAGGGCTTAAAGAATGCTAAAAATTTAATGTATGTTAAAAGGGTATTAAATTCTAAACTAAAATTTACATGGAAATATGACATTAAAATATTTTTAGCTTTCAGGAAGCTGGGGGCTGGAATGCTATAATATAGACAAATTCTATCATTTTAAAAAGAATTAGCCTATTTCTTGTGGATTCCTAGTCAACGCACACAGAACCGAGCCCTGCCTGGGGCTCTTGGCTGAGGCAGGCGGGGGCGAGAGGAGGGCGGCCGGTGCCCCGGGAGGGAAGGCTCAGTTCCCGTCTGTGCTCTGGGGCTTCCCTGGTGGGGCTGGGCCTGCTCCTTGAACTCTGAGGCCCTGCCGGCCAAGGAGGCCGAGGCCAGAGTGTTCTCAGTGACTATGGAACTGGGTCTTATGGCTCCATGGCTACCTGTTCCTGGTCCCCAGCTGTGTGGCAGGCCTCTGCCCATTATCATATTTCTTCCTCATTGAAGAAGGTGGGATTCTGTCTCACTCGTGCAGATAAGAAAATGGCTCAGAGGAGTTGAGTAATGGGGTCCAGGGTCACACAGCACGGGGAAGAGGATTTTCATTCCTTCTCAGACTCTTAGGGCTTTTATTGTTCCCTGGGGCTGGAGCAGGGCCTTGAGCCCAGCCTGTCCCTCTCCCCACTATAGCTCTCATCTCTTTGGGGCTCTCCAGACAAAGTCCCCTCCCCTGCCAGGTGGGAGGACCTAGGGAGCACCACACTGTGTCCCCTGCTTTCCAAGGGCCCAGAACAGGTCTGGCTGGACATGCTCCACGGATGTCAGGGGTGGGCAGGGTGAGTCAGAAGCACCCGTTCTTGGCCACAGCTCCATGCCGGCCCTATGCTAGACCCAAAGATCCCTTGACCCGCCCCCGCCCCAAGAGCAGGTCTACCTGTGGGCCTCGCTTCTAGGAAGAGCCACGCAGGGCCAGGAGAGAGGCTGGGGTGTGGTGGGCTGGGAACTGCACAGTGTGCTGCGCCTCACGGTGTCCTCTCCTGCTCGGCCGCGGGAGGCAGGGGCTGTTCCTGGGACAGCAGGGTGGGGGGGTCCCCGGGTGCACCTGGGGTGACTTTAAGCTACCTGTCTCTGTGCGGCCGCCGGCCCTCTGTGCAGAGGAGCGGGAAGCCCAGTGGGCAGCTCCGCCGGCCGGCTGCGCTGGCCTCTCCGGGGCCGAGTGCGGGGCTCGGGCTGGCAGCTGCCTGGCCCCGGGAGGAATTCCAGCCGGGCCGGCGGGGCTGCGGCGGAAATGACCACTCAGTGCCTGGCCGGCCCCTGGCAGCCGCCACACCTCCGGGAGGCCACTCACTGGCAGTTAAAAATCTATTGTGACTTGTCAGAAAAATGAATAAATGGGCACATTAGCCCTTCACTTTAGGCTCAGCTCTGCCTGTCGCTGCAGGAGCCGGAGCGGCCGGGGCTGGGCGCTGATGCGAGTTTTCCTGTGGAGGATTTAAGCGGGTAATGAACAGGCCGGGGACACAATCCCATCACTTCACCAGTCACGCCGGCCTCCGGAGAGCGCCCTGTTGGGACTCGCCTTTGCGCGGAGGTGGTTGGTGGGAACAGGAGGTGACAGCTCCCCGCTGCTCCACTGCTTTCCCCGCAGGGGCCTGCAGGGGCTCATCGGGGCCTGCAGGGGCCACCGTGTTGGCCCTCCTGGGCCCAGAGAGAGGAGGGACGCTGGGGTGGGGGTGGAGGCCGGAGGGGGACAAAGAGCCTCAGGGGAGGGACTTTGCCTCAGTTTCCTCGTCTGTAAAATGGGGGCTGGGTGGGCATGAGGCTGGGGGGAGAAGGAAACCGTGATGTTTGCTGACAGCTTGGCAGGAGGTGGGCACTGGGGAAAGACCGGGAAGTGCTGATGTCACTTGTTTGCTGTGAGTCATATGCACCTATGGTCACATGCTGCACACACACAGGACTTGGGGGTTAAGGGGATTTTTTTTTCCCTTGGCACCAGGGAGTGAGCCCTGGGGTGCTCTGAGCTACATCCCCATCACTTTTTATTTTTTATTTTGAGACAGCGTCTTGCTGAGTCACGGAGGCTGGCCTTAAGCTTGTGAGCCTCCTGCCTCTGCTTCTGAATCGCTGGGATTACAGGCATGCGTCACTGCATCCAGTGAGGACCCGTGTTTTAATTAGGACAGCTGTGTATTTATTGGAGCGTGTGCCAGAAAACATGCGGCTCTCCAACTCCATGACTTCATGGCTATCCTTGTTTTGAATAGGGTTTAAGGTGGGGAACATTAGCCTAGATTAAAGGAAAATGTTAAATTGTAGACAAGTGGCCTGTGAAAGGTGACTTCTCAAGGTGTCATCTCAAGGTGGCAGCCCTTTGCTTCTCAAATATTTGTGGCTGAATCCTCGGTGGTTATATTCCCAGGCCCTCTGGGGTAGGTGTCAGCATGGGAGTGACCTAGTGGGTGGAATGTGAGTGGGAGTGGGTGGCAGCATGTGTTCCTTTCCACACAGCTTTGCAGATGTCCCTCCATCTCCAGCCCTCCCATCCCTGCCCTGGCCTTTGTGGAAGCCCGAGGAGGATGTTGGACCCACAGCTGACAGCTAAGGAGAAGTAACTTGCTTTGGTAAGCCAGTGAGGTTTGGGGGCTGTTTGTTACTGCAGCATAGCCTGGCACATCCTGACCAGGAAGCATGTCCAGTCCTCGCCATTGTCATTGTAAGGACCCAGTGTCTGAGTCCCTGCTTCCAATCCGTTTGGGAACGTACCTAGGCATAGTGGATTTTCTGATCATGCTATCTTCCCGAGGAGGTCATTATGGGAGCTCCACTCTGCAGATGCCAAAGCTGATGCTGACCTCACCCAGGTGGAATTTGTGGCAAATAGTCCTTAATCCAGGCACATTTGATTTAAAACCTTCCTTTGGCCTGTCACATCTGAGTCTGAGTCCTTCTAGTAAATTCAGGGATTGGCAGCAGGCAGAATTGCAGGTCCCTGAGGCAGAGACCTGTGTCCCGCCCAGGCAGAGGCCTGGCTCCTCTGTGCCTTCCTTCTGGGCGTGGAGGCAGCTGGGCTCTGGGGCTAAGCTGGGGTCCCCTCAGGGTCAGCACCACAGGGTAACATGGCATCAAGAAGAGGTGGGAGGACACACCAGTGTCACTGCTGCCATCCTCAAGCGCTGTGCACGCGGCTCTGTGCATCTGACCCATGGAGCCTCGACCCGCGCAGAGGGGCAGGCTTTCACGGCCGCTTATGGGCAAGGACAGTGAGGCACAGACAGGTCCACCCTTACCTGGAGGCACAGAGTGGGCAAGGAGAGGAGGTGGGCTTTGGTCCCGGCCTGGACACTAAACCCCAGCCACCCTTGACTGATGGGTCCCCAGAGCTCAAGTGGGTCCACAGGGTTTCCCCAACTCCAAGGCAGGAAAGTGACGTGACTAACTTGACTCACAGCCTGGGCCTGGGGGCCGGGCTCTGATTCCAGGTCTGTGCCCTGAGACCTCTGACCTTGAGTTCGGGGGAAGCCAGGCCCCTTCCTCCTGGAGGAAGGGAAGCAGCTCCGTGGCAGCGAGGCAAGGGTCGGGGCAGGAGTCTCTGCCAGAAGTTGGGGACACGTCCCATGCTGTGGGGGTACTGCTGACATCCTGTGTTGGCCACAGAGGACTGGCCTTGCCCTCCTGGGGCTTTCAGTTCCCTTGGGAGGCTGCGGAAGCCCTGCCCCATCCTCCTAGCTCAGGGACCCGCCATGTCACAGCTGTCCTGGGGCGCGGAGAGGGAGGGGCTTGTCAGGGCCCAGGAAGCTGTGGGGTTCTCTCCATCAGGACCGGGAAAGGCTGACAGGAGTCCCCTGCTCCTCATACCTGAGCCTGCTGGCCAGCACACTGGTCTCCAAGCGCTTACACCTGAGGGGTGGCCTGGGGCCACCTGCCCACCCCTTGGCCTCACTAGGCAGAGGTCCCGGCTGCCACGCTGGGGCTTCCATGCCCCCTGCATCCCTGACGTTCTGCAGCCCCTGAGCTGGGAACCGGGAGCCTGAAGCAGCAGCTGACAGGTCGTCAGGGACATGACAGGGCGGAGGCCAGCTCCCAGGCTTTGGCCCTGTGAAGCGAGGACTGAGAGGGACAGGGCCTGGGAGGGATGGTGTGTGGAGGAAGCTGCCGGCTCAGAGCCAGAGAGGCGCTGCACGGTGAGGAGGGCACCTGGGCTCAGCTGGGCGAATTCCGATCCACAGTCAAAGCCATCGTAGGCTCACCAACATGGCCGAGGTGGACGTGGAATCCAGCAGTGAGCAGCCACGGCCAGAGGCACGCAGCAGACTGAGAGGGGACGGTGACAGGCACTCAGCACCCTGAGGGAGGAGGCTGGACCGCATGACCTCATCTTCACCCCAGAACCCCTTCCCTCCTGCAGGGTTGGCTCACCGGGACTCTGAGGCCTGGCCAGCAACGACCCAGGAGAGCTGCAGGCTGCCAACCTCAGGGGGCAGAGGCAAGGGGCAGGGAAGAGCAAGGAGTGGTGCCCGCCCGTTGCTCGTGGTGTGTCTGGGCAGCGAGGTGACCCCAGCCCCGGGTCCTCCCTTCTGCAGTAGAAATAACGACAGGACCCACCAGGGGCTGCTGTGGCAGTGACATGGGATGGCGCACATTTTGCACAGGGCCGGCATGTGGCCTGCCTGCGCACAGTAGGCCCGCACAAGATGCAGGCGGTGGGCAAAAGCCAGCCGAGGTCAGGTCGCTCAGAACACGCTGAGTTCAGAGGCCCAGCTGGGAGAGATGATCCGCACTGGTATTTTGCGTCACGTCAGGCAGGAGTCACATGGGCACCAGGTCAGGTGGCTTGGTGGAAAACTCAAGTGGGCCTGTGTCACCTGGGTCGTGACAAGCTCCCACTCTGCATGCTGGGGCCGGGGAAGGTGTGCGATGCTCATGTCCTGGAGCTCATGGGCTGGCCTGAAGGCCCGGGGAGGGAGCGCTGAGGAAAACCTGAGTGTCAAGTCCTGGCATCTGGTGGTGGCCACAGTGGTCCCCTTAAACTACTCCTTGAGCTGGACGTATATTTTATGTAAACTGAGTGTGTTGTATTCCAGGGCAGGAATGGTACTGATGTGGTAACTGGAGGTGGTGACAATGTTGGTGTCACCCTTGAGAGAAGGGGCCCTGCTTCTTGCGCTGCTTCTCAGAGCACTGCAGAGACACTGGGCACCTTGTCAACTGCCAGCACCTGTCACCCCCAGAAGATTCCTGGTAGAGTCACCGTCTGCAGTGTTACGTGCTCAAGACTCAAGGAATGCAAAGCAATAGGCAAAGGTGGGTATTTACAGGACTTTTAATATTTTAATATTGAATGCCACAAGATTTAATGACCAAATTAGTCATTTACATTTTTCAAAGATATCTAAATAGAAAATTGCTAAAAATTCAAATACAGGTAGCAAGCTACAAATAATATTTCTTCTATTTCTGGGGGTAGGAATGGAAGACATTAGAAAAGGGTGCTCCTGTTGGCCGGATGAAGAGCAGAGCGAAAGAGGAAGTCATTAAAAGGACCCCTTGCGCAAGAAACCCACTTGAGTTGGAGATGTTTAGACACATCTCTTCTTGTACAATGATTTAAAAAATGTTTTAAATGCAGGCCGTCAGTGAGACATCCAGCTCTTGGTCCTGGCCAGGGACAGTAGAAAGGATGTCATCATGGGAGGGACCCTGGCAAGACCTGCAGAGGCATCTGGTGTGGCCAGAGGTGATGTCAGGGGTGCCCGACCCCTTGCCTTTCCCACCAGGGCGCGAGGTGGCAGGAAGGCGGCTTCCCTCCATGCCGCTTCTCCAGGACACGGAGGACGGCAGCAGCTTCTGGCCTGCGCATGCCGGGCAGGCACTGTATGGGGGATGGGAGGGGAGATGGGGCCCTTCAAAGCCTGCGAAGCAGAGACTCTTCCAGGTCCAGGAAAACCTGAGCGCAGGTCTAATTATCAGCAGAAACCTACACTTAATATTAAGAAATGGAGAGGCCACTCTAGCCGGGAGCAGCATGGCCCGAAGATGTCTCCACATCGTCCCAAGACCCATTCCTGAAATCAGAGGTGCTGGGGTGTGTTGAGGAGGAAGGCTCCTGAAGAGGAAAGTGACAGCCTTGGACACACAGCACCCTGCCCTTGTTCCTAACTCAGTTACTTCCTTAACTATCCTCAGAGCAAATGCACTCATTTAAACAAATGGCATAGTTAAAACTATTGACTAAGCCTTAAACATTTCTTCTGAGAAATCGAACCATAGCTTTTCCAATCTGCCTGTTCAATATGGGAACAGATTTTAAAGAGAATAACATAATCAATCTCCACCCCAAAGAATGGTCCATCATACCAACCATGATAAAGAGTACACCTGTTTATTAAAAGGAAAAAAGAAATATACACTTTGTTCTTCATTTGCTTTAAGAAATTTGATCAAGTTGCAAGGAAATATCTGGCATGGCTATGTACATCCTCGGGCAGGGTCATCGGGCAGTGAAGGCGGCTGGACAGCACATGGCTCTGCCGGGGGGTGGTCTGGCCCTGGGCATTGTTACTCAAAGCCACCACCAATCAGGCTGCAGTCCCCTGGCAATGTCCCCTGTCCTCCAACCTAGATGCCCCCTGGCCCCACCCCCTGCCCAAGAGCCCACTGACCCTGTGCCCGTGAGTTGGCCTCCCCCAAGCACTGCAGAGCACGGGGTGGGCTCTAGGGCCACCTGGCCCTGGCAGGCAGCTCAATCTGTGGCAACAGATTGAGGCTGGGGGCCAGTGTCACTGCTGCCCTGATTTCTTCTCCTTCTGGAAGCTGAAGCTTGTACGTCTGTTCAGTTTTCTTTGTTTTTGAGCAAAATATTCAGCCCGGGCGGTGCTTGCTCGTGATTCCAGGATGTAGTTAACCTAGGAAGCAAGAGGACACAGCTCGTCACTTGCCAGCCATGCGTGCTGCTTGCCTGGGTCAAAGCAGGGCAGGAGGAAGGCCCGCTCTGGGCTGGGTGCCACAGGCCCAGTGCTTTTGTGTGGCTGGACTCCCGGCACCCAGCACGCTGGCAGGAGGGATACGGTCCTGCTCTGGTTCAGGCTCCTCTGCCCCGAGTGCTGGGGCTTCTTGATCCTAGCCCCAGTGCCCACCCCCCCTTGAGCTGAGCTGCCCCAAGGTCTGCCCTGGCTGTGGTTCTGCCCTTGCCTACTCGGATTTGCACAGAATCTCTCCGAGCTTCACTTTCCATAGGAGACAGACGAAACCATCGTGGGGAGGACAGAGCAAGACAGGGCTCTCCATTCAGACCCCCATCAGCTTCCAGCACTATTTCCTTTAATGCTCCGGGGCCTTGAAGCCAAGGCTCATTCAACCAAAAGGAAAGGGAGGCTCCGAAAGGAGGCCGAGGGGGCTGAAGTCAGGGCCAGGGCCGTGAAGGTGCTCAGCCGTCTGCTGCTCTCTGCACTCCCCTGCGGGGGTGTGTATGTCTTTCGGGGTCACATGAGCAGCACCCACACTGCACAGAGCCTCCTCAGACACCGCCTGCTGTCACCGGGCTGGGCTTTGAGTGAACCCCATGGCTTCTCTGAGCCCTCACGTTTCTACAAGTTATAGAAATAGAACTAGTTTCTAGTCTAGAAATAGACTAGAAACCCAAGTCTCCTGGTGAGGGAAGACAGCTGGCACCATGCTGGTTCTACTCTGAGGGCCACTTGTCCTGGGTCTGGAGGGAGGGGCCTCTGCTTAGCCAAGAAGGAACCAGAGGCTCTGGAGGAGACAGCAAGAATGGCAGTTGCAGGACCCAGGCTCTGACACTGTCCCTCCTAACTTTCTGCTCTGATCGTCGCCAGCAGCAGGCGGGGAGGGCCGGCATGTGGGTCCAGAAGGCCTGACACGCTCGGCCACTGCCTCGCCAAGGCACCAGCTGAGAGCAATAAATCATGAGGCCTGCAGGCCGGGCGCACGTCTGGGACAATGCAGACAATGTATGGAAACAGGAGGTTTATCATTTTTAATAAAAGCAATCTTTGGATTATATTGTTTGCACACTCAGCCAACCTAGAGTTTTCAGTGTAGTTTTGGCACATGCAATTTGACAAAAGCATTTTAAAATGATCCTTAACAAGCCAACTATTTCCTAAATTTATTATCTTCAGTGCTTTGTGATAATCACATAGATAATTTTAATGGAAGATTAATGTAATAATCAAAAGATAAAAACGCCCTTTGGTCTGCCATTAGCTGGTTAATATGCTGTGGCTTAAAACTTGCACAATTTTATGCACTATAGAGTGTTTCACTTTCAATGCATTTTACAGCTTAAGGCATAAAAATATAGGGAGTTTTCATGGTCAATAAAGCCACAGCGTCCGTCACTCGATCACGAGAAGAACCTGATTTGAAGAGCCCAACGATTCCTCAGAGATTCATCTCCAAGCCTGCAGAATCAGGGACCACACATGGCTTAGCTCAATTACGTTCTGGTGGAATTAGGGCAGCTCTAGAAGTCCTCGGGGCCAGGTTCAAGTTGAGGCTCCACTCTGATGTGCTTTGTGGCCTTGAGCCTCCAACTCCTCATCTATAAAATGGGGACAACATCCACATTCTGCAGGACAGTTGGGAAGATTGGATGAGATAACGGACATGAAATATGTGTAGTCAGTCTCAAAAAATTGGGAGATGTTAATATTTCTACAAGGGGCGAGACACGATGAGGTGAAGTGACGGAGAGCATCAGCTCTGCCTCTCACCTCTCCTTGTAGCCTGTCCTCTGATGCAAGCTCTCACTTCATGTAAAACTCCTGAGAGAGACTGACCCTGCAGAGCCTCTAAGGGCAACATTTCTGCTAAATTCCTGGGCACAGGGCTGGGCTCTGTTAGCCAGTGCTGGTGCCTGCCCTGACACCATGGGAATGTGGCTAAGGCTAAGTACTCCAATTGCCATAAAAATCAGAAGTGGGGGAAGTGAAGTTTAATCTTCCATCAGGACCACGATCATTAGCTCTGAGTAAACCAGGCCTGGGCTCGCTGCGACTCTCCTGGAGTCTTCTGCATGATGCAATATTTCTACAAACATTTTGATATGAAAACAGACATTTTAGGGGAGGCGACAGGCCTCAGGGATTTTGCAGAAAAGCATCTGCTTCCAGGGAGCATTTGGTCCTGTAAAATGATTTCTTTGCACTTGATCTTCCACAGTCTCATATTGAAGTCATAAACCTGTGTTTCTGTCATCAATCTGCTGTTGTGAAAATTATTTTGATGTCAAACACAGGATTATAATTTCACTAGAATCCTTCTCAAGTCTTGAATATTTTAATGCTGGCTATAAAAATAAGTCCAGTCCCTGACGGGGTACTGGAATATTTCTTCACCTACTCCCCAACACTTGGCAGTTCCTTGGGCTGTCTTGTGATGATCTCAGCTTGCTGGTGGCCACAGTGCCGGGTGGGTACATTGTTCTCACTCTCTGTCTGAGGGAGGCTTGGTCAAGGTGGTCATGAATCTCCCACCTTCCATTCCACTGACCATCTCGTCCTAACTATCTTCCCAGCAGCATGAGACTTCTGACTTCTCTCCTGCTACTTCCAAAGACCTTTGCAGTCATGGGACTTGAGCTCAAAATATGCCTGAGAAGCGATTCCATTTGGTTGGAATCTCCCATTCAATTCTTTAAGGCTACACACATCTGGGGGATTAGGAACATAAATTCTGGAAACTGTTAAGCCTAGGGCCGAGTTCTAGTTCTGCTAAGAGTCACCATCCTGGCTAAGTTACTTTTCTTTGAGCCTCATCACCCAGAAAATGGGAACAATTGGATGTGCCTGTCTCGTGGCCCTGTGAAGGACCAACCAGACTGGGTCTAAGAAGCCCCCGGCCCAGGTCCTGCATAGGGCAGTCCCTCAGCGTATCTTCATGGCTTCAATTGTCACTGCCTGATGAGTCTCCTCTTGAGAAAAGAATGGACCATGTCTAGAGAGTCCTGGCATGCGGCATCTGCTCTGCATGCTGGCAGCCCTTTGGTGGGGTGGGGCAGCATCAGTACCATGACCCCACCTCATAGGTGGGAAAACCGAGGCTCAGAGAGGTGGGGTCACACAACCAGAGGTGGGGGGTCAATTCTGGCTCAAACCCCTCCGCCTGTGCCCTTCGCAGGCTGCTAGACACTGTGCCTTCTCTCACGTCATTCAGGTCCTGCTCTCCCAGACTCCCATCTACCTGGCACCCTGTGACTATTAACATCTTTTGTGAATTTTCTGTTTCATTCCGTCTCCCCTGACAAAGGCAGGGCTCTCTGGGGACAGGGACTGGCCTGACACCATGGTATCTGGAGCTCAGGGTGGACTGCTGTGGTTGGTAAAGCCCAGTAGGAGCTGGTGCGTTTCAACAGGTGCTGATGGGCACCCCAAGCACGATGAAGCCTTTTCCCAGCAACTGTCTCCTTGGGTCTGCTCCAGGGGCCTGAGGAGCTGCTGCCAGGGCTCAGAGGGAGATAAACGGTGCATGGAAGGACCACAGGGATACAGGAGGAGCAGGACCATTAGGGGCTGTGAGGCAGCTGAAGGGGGTCCTGCTTCAGCTAGGCTGACACGGAGCTGCTGACCTCAAGGCCTGGCTTGGGCCTGGTGCGCATCAGCAGAGCCACCAGTTCCCTCATCTACAAAACTGGGCCCAGGAGCCAAGTCCTACTGGGAGGGAAAGTGGCTGAAGCCAGGCCAGACAGACAGGGCACAGGCAGGAGCACTCGACCCATCCCTGAGTCAAGAAGCACTCACCTTGAGCACGATTTCATTGACGGTAGCAGCGTCAGACTCAAAGTAGAGGTGTTTATAGTCATGATTGCTTAGATACGTGAGTTTAAATATTGCATGACCTGGAGAGACAGAGAGAGGGAGGCAGTGATGAGGGTCCCATGAGTGCTCCCCTCACCATCCCGACTGGAGGGTAGGTGGAGGCTGGGCAGATCTCCTGTTCCTGGAGTGGCTGGTCTTCACGTCCCAGGCTGGGTGTAAAATGGACAGTAAAGGAGAACAGACTGAGTGGCCAGCTGGGCCCACTCCACTCTGGAGTGTGTGCAGGCAGTGCCACCCCAGGAAGGCTCCTGCACAGGCTCTGCATTACCACGGGGCTGCTTCCATAGGATAACTGTGTGGAAAGGGAATATTTTTAAGGTAGAGCCAACTGATCCCAAATTATTACTCTGGAAATGCACTAACACTGTTTAAAGTCAAGTAAACACAGCAGGCAGGGCAGGGCCAACCGCAGCCCCTTCCTGGAGCTTCTGCTCCACGGCCTGGGCTCCTAGAGGAGCAGGAGTCCTGCTGGAGGGGTTCCTGGCCTTGTGCCCCAGATGGAAGCTGTTCTCAAGAGCTGCTGGTCACTTCCGCCCCAGAAGGATGGACAGGGTACGGCTCTACAGACCATGGGTGGCGCCTCACAGAGCAGACTGCCTAAGGGGCCAGCTCTTTTGACACAAATCCCACCAAGTCCAACTCCTTCCTGTTTCCCACCCCTACAGAATAACAGTGTCATTTCTGGGCCTACTCCATCTAGCCTCATGTCCCCATGTCCCCACAGGCAGCCTGTGGTGCTGCCCTGACCTCTTCACAGGCTCTGTATTACCTCGGATGCCCTCTTACTGACCTTTGTGCAAAGGCCTTGCTGGCCCTTGGTGACCTGGCTCAAATGGTGCCACACTGGGCGAGTCTTCATAGACGCATGGCCAGGTGGAGGCCTGCCCTGCTGCACGTGGCTTGTTAAGGAAACCTGTTTCTTGTTTTGCCACACCTGCAGCCATGTCTGCGCTTCCTGTGCTTGACCTCTGGGCCAGACACAGCAACTAGATCCCTCCTCGGAACTGAGACAGATGCCGGCCTGCCTGGCGACTCTTGGTCTAGCCCATGTGAAGGTCCCTTATCTGCATGTGCTGTCCTTGGGTTCTGGGAGCCCCAGCAGCTCTCTAAGAACTAATTCTTTATTCTTAGCTATTTTGAAACTGGTTTCCATTATTGGCACCAAAAGAACATTGTCCAAGAGCGACACGTCATTGATGCTCGGCAAACCTGCCTAAAGTCAAGAGCAGGGGGGTCCCATATCCACCTGTGGCCAGCCTCCTGCATCAGCCAGAAACGCTTCCCCTGGTCTGCTCCAGTGGATCTCAGTGCCTGAAGATTAAAATTCAGCATATCCTTCCAGTAGACCTCCTTTTTCATTGTGGCTGGTCAGTTATTAATTAATAATATATCACCCATATTACTGTAAGTTCACCTCTTTCCGGGAGAAATCTTGGAGACTTTATTTACAGTAGTTAATTTTTCAGATCTCCAAAAATAAACTGATATATGCTGTACATTTGTGGCCAGAAAAGTTGAGCTGCTGGCATTTTATCCTGGAAACATCATTATGAAATACTAATTGTGACTATAAATCGTATATTGAAAAAATTAGCTGATAATTTCTTAAAAACCCCACTTTCGGTCACTTGACAAATTTAGCCTGATTCTAAATCATGGCACTAAAAGTCAGAATGCTTGACTGGAAGCTAATCACTGTTAATATATAAATTACTTATTTCTGATAAGGGAGTGAATCTTACTGAAATCGGGGTGTGTGTCTGTCTGCAGTCATCATCATAGAACACTGGAGTCTTGCTGGTGACATCACCATGTGGAGGAACAATAGAGATACCTTTGTTGGCCATCTATGAAGGACACAGGGCTGTGAAGGACGAACAGAGACAACCCCCGCAGGAGCCCTTACTGCTGACACGTGGCCATGACAGACACAGATACCAGAGCCTAGGGCTAGAAAGGACCAGAAGGTCTTAGGGAGGCCCGCAGACCTGAAGCTTCGGGGTTCACTGGCCCCTCTGATAAGTGATCTCATGCACGGTCTACACCACCTGCTCCTGCTCGTCACTGACAAAACTAAATCTCAAGATGCAGGGAGCACGCTTGCCTGGAAAGCTGAGACACCATTAAAGACAGTCTGGGACTTTAGGTATAGTCAAACCTAAAAATGGCACTTGGGATGTGCAGCTTGCATGGGCCTGGGGCCTCAGGAAGGATGCCTGGATACTCTCCCCTTGGGGCTGTGTCATCATGGAGCCTGTCAACTGCAGGCTCACAGGGGAGAGGGACAATAGTCATGTGGAAGAAAAAAAATTATCCCAAACCAAGTCTCCTGAAAAGTCAGCTGACCCCATGCCTGTGCTCTGTATTTTGCTGTGCATGGGGGGCTGTGGGTCCCTTGCCTGTCCCCTGTGTTCATTCTAGTGTCCGGCTGAGGGAGAGGAGCAGGTAGAATGAAGAAGAGCCATCTCGCCCGACCTCTGATGTGCTCTTCCCTCCCAGTGAAACCGCTCACCCCACCAGGAGGGAATGGAGGGGTCCATCTGGAGTGCTGTGTTTGTACCAAAACAATTAAAGTTGTCATTTAGTAACCAGGCTAAGGCTGGTGGACAGCCACAGCAGTGGAGAGCCAGGAGCAAGAGCCCTGGGGTATAAATCGTATACTGAAAAAATTAGCTGATATTTTTTTAAAAATTAGCTGATAATTGTCCCTTGAGCCTAGTTCAAGGGCAGCAGCCATGTTTTCACCCATGCTAGACACCACAGGACAAAGGGGAGCTCACTCCCAAGAGCTCTTGCTTGAAGGCCTGCTGTTTTGATGGATGCCCAGGAGGGCAATTTTACTCAGTCCAGGCTCTGCCAAGAGCACAGGCTAGTACAAGGGACAGGAAATGAACACAGATAGTCCAGTGCAGTGAGCACTAGGGGGAAGGTGAGCACAGGGAGCTGCCGTGGAGACGTGGAGGTAGAGGTGGCTGGCTTGGAGTGAGGAGGGCCCTCAAGGACAGTTTCTTGGAGAGCTGACACCTGAGCAATCTTGGAGGACAGGGTGTTAGCTGAGTGTAACAAGGCAGGGACCACACAGCAAGGACACAGCACTGACAAACTGGCTCTGTGGGAGCCCCGAGTAGAGCAGGGTCATGCATGATGGGCAAGTAGGAGGTGACATGGGAAAAAGTGAGCTTCATGAGCTGATAGGGCCACTAGTGTGTTCTGAGCAGGCAGTAAAATAAATGGGAGAACTGTGATTCCGGATGTTCCCTGGACCCCTGGAGGCAGCGAGACCAGATGCACAGTCACAAAGGTAGGTGTGGATGTGGTTTTGATCTTGACAGGCGCAGGAAGCATGCTGAAAAGGGACTGCTAGAGGACCACACAGAAGGGAACACGGCAGAACTGTGGACTTCTCCATCAGAATAACAGCTAATCATCAGAACTCACACTGTATAGCTTTAACCAATCCAAACCTATACAGTCAAACATAACAAGTTAATTCACCACTTGCTGAAAACAAATCTGTCAATAAACACAAGTAATTAATGCTACATGCTAAATTTTTACTAGAAGTGTCTGGGAAGATGGAACAAGCTGCATGTGAACACTGATGAACTGAGTAAGAAGAGTCTGTGTCACCCTCTGCCAGCCTCAGTGTCTCCAGGTCACCTTGGGAAGGCATAAAGAGGGCTCAGGCCACCTTCTTGGCTGCAGCCCACCAGGGCATCTGTCTCGGGGCATTAGAGGGAATCAGGTGGGCAAGTTACCCTCAAAATTTCAAAGAATACCAGCAGTTTCATAGGAAAGGGGTAAGCCATGGGAGCACAGTGCCTCTATCAAAGTGTCAGCTGAGAAAAACTGTATATCAAAGTCAATATTCCACTTAGTTCCAATTAACTTGCCTGGACTGTTAAATTCTGTTTGGAAATTAAGGCAACCCTGGAAACCTGACATGCTGAGAATAAAAACATGAACCCTGGAGGTAGAGCTGGGGTGAGCTCCACCTGTGGGGTTTCGTGTCATCACCTCCACACATATGCTCACAACTACACGATGTATGCACATTACACCTACACATGCATGAATGTGTCTATCTCATATACATCCCTGGGCTCAATGGGTGGTGGTAATTCATTACAACTGTGATGGAATTGATATTTGAAGATAAAATGCTCATTACTTTAAAGATTTTGATTTTAATTTGTCCTTGTCTGAACAGTCTAGCTTTTACAGTGCTGTAGGAATAAAATGCAATGTAACATGGTATAAATGTGGCATCTAAGTACTGGTCACACACTCAAGGAAGACACTGAAACTATACATCTGCTTTTGAATATTGAAATGAAAATGTGGATATGCAAAAATGTATTTACACAAACATATTTTTTTTCAAAGTAAACCAGAGAAGATGGAATCTAACACTGAGCAGAAACCAATTAGCAGCATGAATGTCAGAAGTGGAGACGTTTGAGCTTCTGTGCTTTAATTTATCTTCTGCATTATGCATTTGAAACAGGTTCCTTGGGCCCTTGCAGGGGAGAAGCCACCCTAGAAAGACTGCTGGTACCTAGAAATGGGGCAGCTCAGGCTAAGAGGACAGCGACTTCGACACCCCCTGCCAAAACAGTGCTTAGCTTCCCACTGCAGATTGTGGACAGGAGGGTCCCTTAGCATACTTGGTGGCACTGTGGCTGGTAATGACTAGTCAAAGCTGGGGCTTCCAAATGAGCCTGCACCCACCTTTGTCTAAAATTCCTTGTCAAGAACACCAGAAATAAACTTGAATTTCTTTCTGCTTCAATTAAAAATTTACATGAAAAATTGCTAGAAATACAGAAGACAAAGGAAAACTCGCCACATTTCACTCCATGATCCTAACACTGGTACACAAGGACATCATGGTCACTTTTCTAGCTGTCCTCATGTTTTTCACATGGTTGTAATCATTTTATTCCTACAGCATTGTATACTAAAATCTGAGCTAAATTTCTTTTAAATTTAACATTTTATCATACCCCTGCCTCTGCCG